CTGCCAAGCACTCATTTCCGAGCCTCTATTTTTGGACGAGGAAGAGCATTACCTCCTGACTTCATATTGCCACAGGAAGACAGACAGTAACGGTGTTATGGGTCCGCTATAAATAGCTCTGAGCATGGGCAGCACAGACAGACGGATGCAAATGAAATACTATAAAACAACAAAGACAGACATGGAGTCCCACTTCCTTTCCTCGCCTGGGTACTGGGTTCACATACAAATAGGTATAGGAAGTTGTCCAGTGTGGGGGAAGTCAAGGCAAATCTATTCCTAATCCAGAAGCCACTCAAATCATGATTGAAGTGTGATTGATTTTACAGCATGTCTGACCAAACCTGCAGTTTTCTTTTTTCAAATCTATGTTCCACATTATGATCAGGCTTGATAGAAGTGCTGACAAAGCAGGTCTGCACATGAGAACCTCTGAGTTGCTGTCAATGTCAACAGAAGTCTATTGGATCTTTTGTAAACTGTAATCATTATTGTTCATTCGATTTTCCCCAGCACCGCTTCAGTCAAAAGCTTTGAAATCAATTTTAGTTGATAATATGTTTATATGGCTAACAGGATCTTTAAATTATTCTCCATTAACTACAGAGTCAGGGGGATCTTTGTTCACACTGACTGAATAAAACTGAATTTAAACTGTTGAGAAATCGGGGCTGAAAAACCACAGGATGTATATACACATGGATATGAAACTGGACCTGTAAGTGACCAAACTGATTTGGCACCATTTCTGTCAGACGAACACGTTTACATGGTTTAACACTGTATCTTTGTTTGGACTAACACAATAATTAGTCTATTTTTTGCATGTGAACACATCATTGAGGTCCTGCCTTGAAATGCCCTTTTAGGTTACTGAGAGAAAAGCTCACATAAGGTAAGTCCCTGCAGAAAACAGGATGTGACTGCAGCGTGTACATTTGGTTTCCACTCTGCTCCGTCTGTATTAGACAGCCGGATTTGGTCAGTGATGGATGGGTAATGTCTATGTAATATTATTACAATGCAGTGCTCTTGGCATGGCCTATATATAAAACTGATTTATGAGGCCAATACATGTCTTTGCCCTGGTCAGTGGGTGACAAACGTGACTGTCTGGCCAAGAGGATGAGATATATCTGACATTTACTCCAAAACAGCGAGCTAACATCCTGTGTGAGGTAAACAAACCTCAAACAGAGATGGGTCTCTAAGGCAGGAAACATTTGTTCAATTCTTTTTCTTGCCAGAACAACCGTGGTGTACTCTGTAATAATGCCAAAGTGACACACTGCTATGACCAACAGAATGTGTCACACAACCAAAATGCACATGTGTAGAGGTTATATTTAGAAAGCCCTGCCTCAGCAGGAGAACAGGAGGCAAAATTAGGCACCGCAGGCAGGAGTGTGTCATAGATGATGGTGAGGCAATAACTCCGGGACACACACACGGCTTATTTACATTCTGAACAGCTCTAAAAGAACATTAACAATAAAATGCAAATGTTGTCAAAGCTCAGCACTAATCTATGATGCCATTAGTCTGGAGCAGTCCGTTCTCATCACATGGTACTTTTGGTAGGCTTTCAGATGAATTAAGCATTATCAGGGCAGAAAGCAGAGACAAGGATCACGTGTGTGTGTGTGAGACACATTCAACTCCATGATGAAGTGAGTGCAAGGCATGTGCTAAATGTGCCACCAGAGTGGATACATTGTCTAGCAACACTGAAAGTGCTTGTTGGTGTTGGTGTTGGGGGGGGTATGGATGTTGTCACGTTATGTTGAGAAGTGAGCTGTACAATGGTTTGTATTCTACCGATACTGGATATCAATGTATTTAAAGCATGGGCGCCTATGCTGCCTATGGTTTGGTGAATTTAGGCTCTGACCCACAGGTGGCAGATAAGCCAAAATGCGGTATGAAATGTAAAATTAAGGCATTAAAGTACCAGATGTCTTCATAAACTATTTCAGCTGCATCAGCGCTCAAAGTATGAATATTACAAGTCAACAGCTGAAATATTGGATCACTTCATCTGGAAGCCATTAAACTCTGAACTGCTCCTTGATTCAGTAAAGAGAAGTAAAATGAAGTAAAGCATTCTGTACAGCCGTCCTATCTACTGCTCATGATTCACATTCCCTCATTTGATCCAGTCCTGCAGTGGTCTTAGCACTTTTTATGCAGATGTCTTTCAGGTTCTTTTACAAATGTGTACGAGGAACTTGATTGTCCCGCTCAGAACTCGTCCAGACACCATGTAGTGTTCTCTCACATACACATTCCTGTGTATGAGATTATATCTTCTATTATGAGTGCAACTTAGTCCAGTTTTATGTGTGTAACAGAGTGTGGTGAGGGGCTATTAGGTCTCCAAAGTGAACAGGAAGAGATGTGTTGAGTGATGTGGGCATGGGTGGGACCTGAGTGTACCACACACACAGCCCATGCACTCACACAAGCATCCCCCAGTGGTTTTTGTATTAAATGAACCAGGATTCATATAAAAAAAGTCTCTGGGAATTAAATATATACATTTGAGCCGAGCACCCATCCTTCCCCTCAAATAATGAGGGACAGAGGCATTGCAGCCTGTTTCAGGGGACCCAAATGTGAACTTATGTGTGGCAGGAGGAGCGACAGAGGCAAAAAGTGAAACACTGTGTGTTTAAGTTCTTACGGCTTTGTGCATGGCTAAACAATCTTTTACTTGTGTGTGTGTGTGTGTGTGTGTGTGGAGGACATGCAGGCATGTGTGGTGGGGACTGTGTGTGTAATTAAAGAGATCAGAGACCAGGACAGCTCAGTTCTCACACTCCAAATATACAGTATGGATCAGCTCTCCCATGGTGGCGAGCCCCACACATTCCTGCCATACCAGCCCCACGCACACACATTCAAAAAATAAACAGAATATAACACAGATGTGGTCCAGATAGAACGGTACGACAGAAAATGTGTATGTGAGCTGGACTGTGTGTTTGTGTGTCTGCGTGTGCAGACGTAGGAGACTGTGTCCCTGGTACAGATGGTACTTCTCAGCCTCTGATATGTAGGCTTGTGTGTGTGGGACTGCGTGTGTGCTTACATGTGGCATAACGTGAGTCAGACTCTGGGTGCACTGAGAGACCGACAGACACGATAATAATCACCTCCACTCTCACACTCGCACACACTCCCACCATGTGGAGACAGAGCTACACAGTCAGACTGGCTCAGCACACCCCCATGTAGCAGCCTGAACGGAGCTCTGCAGCTCGGATAATTAAGACCCTTATTCAAAGACAGGCGGGCTGAAGGGGAGCCCAGGCTTTCTCTGTAGCTCCCCAAATAAGCAGCTAATCCTGACTGCAGAGCTATGAAAAGCTAAAGCCTCCAGTTCAGTTTGATAAACCCTGGATCACAAAGTTATTCACAGTCGAGAAGAAAAAAAGACCTTAAGGAGGAATACATCTCCAGCCGACTCTCCGATCGGTTCAATTTCCCTTTCTAACAGCAAACATATCCATGTCCCTGCTTGGTAAGTACATTGTTTTGGTGTAACATGCTTCCACTTCAACACCGTAAACATTCAGCATTTTTTGTGTTGAATTAAAATGAGCCGACAGCAGCCCTGAGGTGAAAAGCTGACCCAGGCACAGTCCAACAAAAACCAGCAGGGTTTCCTATGTTAGCTTGCTTTAGCAACAGCAGTTACACTGGAAGTTTCTGAGGCATGCATCATAATTCAGTTGTCTTCATAGACTGTTAAAGATTCATTTTATAAATAACAAATGACTTGTGTTGTCAGACCAATTAAAAAATGCCCAAATGTACGTTGGCATGTTGGATTTTGAGCTTCAATTTGAGAAGTTGTTCTTTAACTGGAGCAATTGGATGAAAGTTCGGGGTTTTATTTGAAGAATTTGAATAAACAATTGGCAAACAGTTCAACTAATCCTGTTTGATGACAGACCAACTCATATTCACCTCATACATGAAATGTATGCGTAAGGGTTTTATCGGCAGAAAATGTGTCAGAAGTGTGAACTGCTGTATTGCTAAAATACTATTTGCAAGAGAATGAACAAGCACATCATTGACCTTTTTCACTAATATACAGCTTTGAAGTATGAAAACTTGAAAGTGGGATATCTGACTCACAGACCTTCAAAGCATATGTCCTATAACAATTGAGTAGTTCAAAAAGATAAAGAGTTGGTTTGGTGTGAATAAGATTGTAGAGATCGTGATCCACACACACCCATGATTTCACAACCCACCACTTTAAGTAATAAATGTCTGCGTTTGTGAGAAATGTGCACCATTTCCCTCCTACTCATCTCTTACTCATTCTCTTCTTACACATCTCCCTGTGATGCTATGCATGGCATACCTAGAAAATGATACTTTACAACTTCACAGCTGTTCCACAGGAAAAATGTTTCACAGGTTTTGGGTGTCTAACTATAGTAACTACTTAAAAAGTTAAGAAGAACAAGACAAACCCACAACCAGGACATTGTACCATAGCCCCCCCCATTTTCCAACATGTGATGTCACTTTACAAATGTCTCCAGTCTTCCCCCTCTGTATCCCTCCCTAAGTTTAACTTCAGATGAACCGCCAAGGTAAGGTTGAACTACAGAGTTTAACTTAAAAAAACAATTTATATTAATGTCAAATCTCATCACTTATATAGTTCACATAACCCCTTCATTTCAACATGAATTCTTGGTGTTATGAATTCTTGTGCGTTATTGGGTGCATTGCCTTTCATGACATAGCATTGCTTGGAGCAGTCCAGGGATTTGCTCCAAGCAGGCTAAATGTCCTGCTTGAATAAAAGTCTAAGTGACTGACAATGATGCAGCACCTAGCTGTAAAGCATCAATATCTTTAAGCTCCAGACAGTAGCATTACTTTTCCACTATGTTTGTGCAGTGGCCACCTTTGTGGAATAGAAAAGGGATGATGGAGAAAGCAGACAAAAAGAACATTCACAAACTGAACCTTACCAGGAGATTGTTGTAAGGTAGCTATCCCCCCTCTTTTAGGAGCTGTGGGCCACCATGACACCTCCTACCTCCTGAAACCAAAACAGGACAAACCAGAGTCAGTCAGGAGGCGTAAAAAACAACAGGGGTCAAACAGATCTCCAGCATTTCATGATCAACAGTCAGATTAAAAAGAGGAAAACAAGTACATAGTAATCCAGGATTTCCTGATAAACTGGAGTGTTAAACTCAGCATTGTTGAAGCTGCTGACTCTTAGAGGACTGGCTGCCTGACCTCCTGCTGCTAACTTTGCCGTTGTGGCTCTTCCTTATGCATTTGTGACGCTGGCCGGCTCGCTGTGGTTATGACGCTGTCCGTTTCGTGTCATGTGGTGCAGCTGGTGAAACCACAGTGTGTGTGTCCTGCACAGTAGAGCTTGGACCTGTGTCTAGGCCATCTGTGTGTGTTCCCTGTGAGCCGCTTGTTTAGTGAGTCACAGTGTCAGCACGGGGACACGTGACCTGGAACAGGTGGTGTTTTAGTGGTCTCCCCACCCCCCCACCCCCACCACACAGAGCCTACAGAGCCCCTGTAGTGTGTTCAAATGCTGAAGCAGGAGCATTGAAACAGGCATACAGACACATACAGGGAATATGCCCTTTTGAGGAATGGTTGTGGTTGACATGCTGCTGCTTAAATGTCACCACAGCTCTCATCCTACTTCTCTGAACACTCACCTGCGGATACAAACTGCACAAAAAACACTGCTGATCTCTGTCTGTTTAAGAAGATGTACACAAACCTAAAGTGAGCGATCTCCCAGAGCCATCCATTTATTTCTGCTGCTGAACAAGTTAGTGCAGCCCACGGGCCTTTCTTTTTTTATTTCTACGTGTCCTGTCTCTCTTCCAGCCCTAACTTATATTATATACCTGCAGGGTGTAAGATAGTGTGGTCTAGGGTCTTCAAAGTGAGCGAAACAAACTGCATAAATCACCAGGTTCCAGCATTTTCTGAAGAAATTTATTTTATTTTCCTCCTCTGACATCCATCTGCCCTCTCTGTCAGCCTCCACAAACACTGTTTTTTTTAAAGCCAATTGGAAACACAGCTGCACATAAGTGGGCCAAGCCACAATCAAACAGGTAAAAACGAAACAAAGACAAAGTCTAAACAGAAACAAGAATAATATTAGTCTAATTTACAAACTCAACCTAATGAAATAATGTACAAAATAAATCCTGCCAAACAAGATAACTCAAAAGTTACTTTAAAGAAAAACAAACAAAGCAATACTAGAAAAACCCTCTAATTGGTAGATCCCAGCAAGGTAATCAGTGACATCATTCAGCCATTCAACAGGAGAGACTGGGCCGGCCACTCCCACACTCCTGACCTGCTGCAAAGCTACAAGGGAGAATGGTAAGTAAAAAGAAACACAAATACCAAGAATATACAAGTTCAACCGATAATTCAAAAGTGGTAGCTTTAAACTAAACATATAAATAGATGGAAACTGCAACACAATATCAACACCAACAAACCCGGGATAGTAAATGAAGCAAGGTTGCACTAATGTTTAAATCTAAGCATTATAACCCATTACAAAATTAAATGTATCAAAATAATAATAAGGGACAAATGGTGAACATACACTGAACCACTTTGTCACACAGGGCCGCACAACTAAACATGCCCACACACGTTGAACTTCATACGTTTCCCTACTGAATGCACACACAAGCAATACAGCGTGCAGAGCAGTGCACAGGGTGCATCAGTTGTGTCAATACAAGGCAGAAATAGCTGGCTCAGGCTAGGTGTTTAAGGCCTCAAACCTTTGAACCGGAGGTCAAAGTTCACAGTCCCTGAAGGGTCACAGATGTTTGCGTGTGTTATGTGCGTGTGTGTGTGTGTGTGTGTTGGTGCGTGTAAAAGAATTTAAGAGCTTTCTGAGTGTGGACACCTTGAAAAAAAGTAATAAATCAGGACAGAGAAAGAAAGAATGCGTGTATTTGAGATTTGAAGGGGAAAACTTATTTAATGACAACGAAATGCCACACGCTTTGACATTATCTTCTCGACTTTGAATGATATCAAGAGTGTGGGGAGAGACAGATGGGGGAGGGTTTTGAAAATGGCAGGGTTAAAGAGCAAGGAAGTTTACTGAGGTATCAAATTAAATCTAAAAAAAAGGAAGGCATCCTTTTTAAATTTCAGATGTATTTGCATAGAGAGATTAGGAGATGAATATTAGATAAAACAGTGCATTTCAGCTTTACTGAAAAGTGCAGTGAGAGAAAGATAAAGAAAGTGGTATTTAACTTCTCTCTGTAAAGGTTAACCGGTGGGTGTATCTCTCTTTGACATTAACCAGAACAGAGAGGAAGGTAGAAGGGTGGAGCAACAAAGTGGCTGTTCTGCGGAGATGAACAGCCACAAATACATACACTATATTGCCAAAAGTATTTGCTCACCCATCCAAATTATCGGAATCAGGTGTTCCAATCACTTCCATGGCCACAGGTGTATAAATTCAAGCACCTAGGCATGCAGACTGTTTTTACAAACATTTGTGAAAGAATGGGTCGCTCTCAGGAGCTCAGTGAATTCCAGCGTGGAACTGTGATAGGATGCCACCTGTGCAACAAATCCAGTCGTGAAATTTCCTCGCTCCTAAATATTCCACAGTCAACTGTCAGCTGTATTATAAGAAAATGGAAGTGTTTGGGAACGACAGCAACTCAGCCACGAAGTGGTAGGCCACGTAAACTGACGGAGCGGGGTCAGCGGATGCTGACGCGCATAGTGCGAAGAGGTCGCCAACTTTCTGCAGAGTCAATCACTACAGACCTCCAAACTTCATGTGGCCTTCAGATTAGCTCAAGAACAGTGCGCAGAGAGCTTCATGGAATGGGTTTCCATGGTCGAGCAGCTGCATCCAAGCCATACATCACCAAGTGCAATGCAAAGCGTCGGATGCGGTGGTGTAAAGCACGCCGCCACTGGACTCTAGAGCAGTGGAGACGCGTTCTCTGGAGTGACGAATCGCGCTTCTCCATCTGGCAATCTGATGGACGGGTCTGGGTTTGGCGGTTGCCAGGAGAACGGTACTTGTCTGACTGCATTGTGCCAAGTGTAAAGTTTGGTGGAGGGGGGATTATGGTGTGGGGTTGTTTTTCAGGAGCTGGGCTTGGCCCCTTAGTTCCAGTGAAAGGAACTCTGAATGCTTCAGCATACCAAGACATTTTGGACAATTCCATGCTCCCAACTTTGTGGGAACAGTTTGGAGCTGGCCCCTTCCTCTTCCAACATGACTGTGCACCAGTGCACAAAGCAAGGTCCATAAAGACATGGATGACAGAGTCTGGTGTGGATGAACTTGACTGGCCTGCACAGAGTCCTGACCTCAACCCGATAGAACACCTTTGGGATGAATTAGAGCGGAGACTGAGAGCCAGGCCTTCTCGTCCAACATCAGTGTGCGACCTCACAAATGCGCTTCTGGAAGAATGGTCAAAAATTCCCATAAACACACTCCTAAACCTTGTGGACAGCCTTCCCAGAAGAGTTGAAGCTGTTCTAGCTGCAAAGGGTGGACCGACGTCATATTGAACCCTATGGATTAGGAACGGGATGTCACTTAAGCTCATATGTGAGTCAAGGCAGGTGAGCAAATACTTTTGGCAATATAGTGTATGTGGAGATGAGGAGCATAGACACGGTGGGAGAAGCTGGACTTCAGAAACAGTCATAAGACAGTCTGAAGGAGATGAGAAGTTTGAGAACAGAATATGTGTCTGTCCCCAATAATTAGAAACGGTAAAATGGCCCCTGGGGCCGGTGTACACTGTGACAACAACAACCCGTGCTGCCCATTAGGACGGCTGTTTCTACTCTTTAGTGACGTACTAAAATGCACAGGACATATTCAAACACATGCAGCAATGGCCCCTACTGAGCAACACGTCCAAGACATGTGCAGCTGACTGATTCAGTTCGTAGTCCCATCAAATGTTTGTTTTCACGCAGAAAAATGGGTTTCTGAAAAAAGAAAAGATTTAGATAGATTTAGGTTTTAGCGCCTTTTATCTTCACAAACACCAGAGTTTTCTTTTCGTCTTGCATCCTATCATGACATTGAAGATGATAAAACCAAATATGACGTTCAGCTTCCACACACGCATCTCTCAACATGTGGGGGCCTGCATGGCGTGAGGACTGGCTGAGCTTGGGCCGCCCCAGCCCTGAGTCACAGGTGATTCAGTAAGTCTCTTCATGTTAGGGCAACGAGCTTCATACCTGCACACAAACATATCACAGGGCTGCAGCAGGAGTAGTAGAAAATGACAGGGTGTCTGTCTGTGAATGGCTCCCTTTGCCACGTCCGTTTGTCTGCTGTGCCCATTTCTGGGAGCTTAGAGGCGGCTCGGTTAAATCACCAGCCGCAGGCAGGTCTGAGTGTTAATGGCATTAGTACATCAAGCTGCAATCATGAGAGGGGGCGCCTTATTTCAACAACTTCAACCTCGCAGAATGCACCTGTACCAAATTCCAAATGTTCACATGATCTGTAAGTATGGTTCATGTTTACAGATCACGTGAACTACGGGGTGGCATGTTTAACCAATCAGTTGGCAGCTTTGTTCAGATCTGTGATACCTAAAGCAACATGGCTCAAACAGAGCAGCCCGTCCCCAGTAAATCCTGGTGGACTGGCTTTAAACTTGGTGGTGTGCATTTTTGAGTACATGCATGAGACAGACAGACAGACAGTCTGCTTGCTTTCTGTCTCATTTGACTGTAAACATGCGTGTGTTTGTGAGGCCGGCGCTGGCAGAGCTACAGACAGCGAGGAGGAGGAGGAGGAGTGTAAGGTTGACTGTGGTTGGGGATGTTTGGTTCGGTGAACTTCTATCGCATGGCTTCAGCAAAAGGTCATGGTCAAAACCCAGCCAGGCTCGTAAACCATCGCACCCACTCCCACGCGCGTGCATGCTAGTGCAAGAAATGCCCGGATAGATGACGTGCGTGACAGACAGACTTCCTCTCTTCGGGGATAAGCAGGAAAATGACACCCACGCAGAGAGCAGGGTGACAGACAGAAGCATCGCTGGAGCTGCACAACACATGCGCACAGCAGGAGACTGAAATCCAGCGGAATCGAGTCCACAATGAGACGGAGAGACGGAGAGAAGCAGCGAGGGCTGGAATGAGCAGTTGGTTATAAATCGTGTCTAGACAGACGCTAATGAAAGCAGTCCGACAGTGGTGGCTGCCAGAGTCAAGGGCTGCGAGCAGCATGATTCTACGCGTGTGTCATGGAGAAAAAGAGTTTGAGAGTTGTTTGAGCAAGAGTGAATAAATTGGGGCTTAATGAATAAACCCTTTTAACGCTGCTCCGTTCTTCCCCTCGCTGCTGCGTCTCTCTCTCTCTCTCTCTCTCTCTGCTCCCCAGCTGCGGAGCCCACACAGCTGCAGACGCATTCAGACACGCAGCAGTTGACACTGGTACAGTTCTGTGACGCAGTCCTCCAAAATAAACTGTGTTTTTTGTCGTCAGACTCTGAAACTAGAAACCCTCAGACCAAAGAACGTGTAATGCACAAAAGAGAGTAAATAATTATAAACCACCGCACAGGGTTAGGGTAAGGTTATTTAGGAAGAAGCCAGTCACGTCTACTCTGTCCGAACAGAAAACTCTTATTTCAGTTTAGGAGGGCCTCCTTAAAGCCTGTACGTTAACACTTCTGGTTTGTTCTGGTCACCGGATGCTGTCACGTGAATATTAACCTGTTTAGCTTTTAGTCATTGAGGTCCAATTTGAAGTACATATGCTGACACTGCTGGTTGTGTGAAAGCAAAAGCATGACACTGTTGGGTGCACGTTGCTGGCGTGCCTGAACTCATTTAGCACAAACAGTCAGGGTGCCTCAGGCCACACTTCTCAAACAAAAATAAGCACTTGAGAAAAAGAAGAAAAGAAAGTGGAGGCTTAGTGACAATGGTTCAGTGAAAGAACAGTCATCACATGGCTAAAAAAGAACTCTGCTGTGATTCCTGGAGATGAAATAGGGGTGACTGCTGATTTATGATGTGAAAGTCTACTGGCCCTGTGAAGGGTGACTGGAATTTAACAAGGACTGAGGGTAGTCCTGCAACACCTGCACTGCCTGTGGGTGTTGATGCTTTGCATGAACTCAGTGCTGATTGGCTGAACAATGACTTCAACCAGATAAAGGACAGCAACAGCAGAATAAGTCAGAGTGATTTGAAAGTGTGGCAATGAAAAAAGTCAAAGTCTTTTTAATCACAGAATTTAACTTCACTGTGCTTTCGTTGGTCGTCCCGCTCTGCGCTGGTGCAGCTTGGACCTTTAGACTTGTGTGTAGCACCGTTTTAACACTGCCCCCGAACAGACAGCCGCCAAGAGTCAGATGCGTGACAGCATTACATCAACACACAATAACCTAAAGAGATAATAACCAATCTCCTCAGTATGTCTGCATGCTCGTTTTGGTACAAATAAGCTGAGCTGCAGGAAAAGCTCAAAGATGACAATGTATGTGGATTTCTGTCATTTGCCTCCTAACAGCTGGCACACTTTATCAGGCTTTATGATGCCATAAATGACACATTAATGACCTGTCTGCGTCTTCCAACTGCTCTAACTTATGTCAATTCACACAGTCGCTTGTGGCTCATTTCTGTTGTCGTCTGCTTCTTGTTTCTGTTATTAAGGTGTTGTGGCAGACGCGTTGAAATAGAGGCAGAGGCTTTGTGTGTGTAGCAGAGTGGTCAGACAAGCCTGTAGACCTGAGCAGACATGTTAAACTGTACTACCTAGTTACACAATGCCATATAATTGAACCGTCACATACCAAAAAGACCAACTCAGAATTTTATAACCACCCTGCTTCCTTTGCGTTTGCGCCAAACCACAGTGATTTCATACCTAGTCAATATCAAAGGCTTCAAATGCATTCATTTGACGGAGGTGTGTTTTCAAGTGGAAAGGATGGGACGTGTATGTGAAGTTTCTATGGGTTGTTATGATGTAGAAACACAAGGCGATGTGTGTGACATGAGCTGTGTTTGCTTACAAAGACCTCTTTATCTGACAGGGGCACACATGATTCCCACATGGGGGCTCACACCATCTTAAAAAGGACCACACACACACACAAAACCACATGTATGACAATTTGGCAATCGATTATTTTCATCTCTAAGTTAGCATACAGCCATGTGATGTTTCACACGGCGTGCACCACGGCCCCTTTTACCTCTGGCTGGAAGGAAATCTCTTCCTAAAGGACTGCGTTCTTTAAGGAAACCTTTATAGTCTCCGGGCATTTAAAGCAGAGGGGGAACGGCTGGCTGCTCTCCACACATAGTGACCTCATACTTCATGCATTGGGCAGATGGGGTGCACACACACAGATGCAGTCAAATAAACACAAACACAAAAAATACGAGGCACCACTCAGATAGAGACCCACCCAATACAAAGATTGCATACACTAGTGTTTGAATGTGTGTGTGTACAGATGGGAAAAAAAACCCTCACCTGATGTGATTTCGAGCCATACTGTAAAATTGACCAGCCTGAGGTGACCCCCTTTGCTGCTGCTAAAGGCAGTCCAATGTTAGCTGTAGAAAGAACCAGCTAAGAATCTGGTGCTTTTCCATAAATCAGAGAGAGACACATTTTCAAGGCCCCTCTTGATGTATTTTTGGGACATTTGTGGCGCTTTGCGTCACTGGTTTATAAAACAGTTTTAAACAGGAGTTTGTAACACAGTGTGGCATCACCAGCATAAAACGGCATATTGACAGAGCATCTCCATGGCAACACTGAAACAGTAAACAGCTGGTGAATGAGCTCTGGCGGCCTGGTTCAGCACAGTTGTGACTTTAGCACCGGTTTCTTAAAGCTGGAGCTGCTGCTGTGGCACTCCTGGTTGTAAATTAGGCTCTGGCTTTAAGCAGCTCTGATTTTTTATGAAACCAAATAGTATTTTTAATAACGGAAGATACATATCTAATGCTGGAGAATGTAATTCTCTTTAATGTAATGACCAGCTCTCCTGGGTTTCATGAAGTCTTGCGCTGACATGAGCCTGAAACCGTCCTGCTGAGATCAGATGAGCGCTGTTGGGCATGCCCTTTCATGAGTGAGCTACGACTAGAATTTTTCCCTTTTAATACACAGATCAAAGATAATCAATTACAGCTGTTGTATAATGTTGACTGTTGCATAGCATATATGTGTGTGTGTGTGTGTGTGTGTGTGTGTGTGTGTGTGTGTGTGTGTGTGTGTGTGTGTGTGTGTGTGTGTGTGTGTGTGGCACATGTAAAGGATGCATAAAACATACAGTGGGAGGGGGTGAGACCGCTTTAGAATGAGACCGCAAATCTGTCTGCGTCACCATGGCAATACTCTGCCAATCGGGTTAACCGTAGCTGTAATCCTCTTCTATAAGAAACCAAATGCTGGCTGCCCCCTCAACACTGACTACACATGCTTACTTTATGCTAATGCTACATTTGATCCTTTTGTGTCTTTATCTGAAATGTGTGTGACGTTCATCTCCCCCTGCATATGTGTGTAGCCATGTGTCCAACACGCCTCTGTTTGTGTGCGTAAAAATGTCCTTGACCAGCTGCAGTGGGCAGAGGAAATGAGGTGGAACTCAATCTGGTCCACACCTGTCTCTAAAGGGCGGAGCCTAAGGCCTTCCAGCACGCAAAACGCACGGCCGCACACACGCATCCAGGGCCTCTAAGTGTCTGTTCACATTAGTGGGGATAGATTATGCATGCAGCATGCAGCTTAGGAGCGGGGATCCATTAATATATGCACAGAGACAGTTTTATGTTTGTGTATGCTTCATGGAAGTGTGCAGTAGTGTGCATGTGTGTGTGTGTGTGTGTGTGTGTGCGGCCGTGCGTTCGCTGCTTCATGATGGAGTCACTAAAAGACTAAAAGAGTGACATTAAAAATAGAGGAAGCGGAGATGAGAGACACATGCAAGTGGGGGAGATTTCTTTTGGAGAAAGCAGAGAAGTGAGAGAGAGGATGGAGGAGGGAAAGAAGATGAAGAGATCGGGGTTGACAGACTGAGACACACAAGGACAGAGAAGGGAGGGAGAGATTGCATTGGTATGGGAGGGGAGGTGTGGGTTACTCTGGGACACAAGAACCCAATGACATGACACAGATACACTGTGATACTGTACAGGGAGGAAGAGGAGAGGCTGGTTGAGTGAGAGATAATCCACTCTGCTGTTCCTACATTACTCTGAGGATGGAGCTCAGTGTGGGTCTTGAAGTAGATGTTCTGCTTAAGTAGCTCCATCCAATACAGTCATTATTACGTCACTTCAGGTTTGGTGCAGGTGGCT